GGTTTCGGCAGAGCTTCCAGACTAAGATAGACTAGGAAGAAAGGCCTGGCAGTTTCTTGGCCAGTGCATTTCATGACCTCTTTTTCAGCCAAAGATTAGACAGGGCCATAAAACAAACAGTGATACACACAGCTCAGCCACGTATCCGAGACTAAATGGGCACACCAGCCCAGGGGCCAGGGCAAGAAGGCAGGAGGGGACAGGACAGCTGGACAAGTGGAAATGGGGAGCCCAGGTTCTAGAAGGGGGGAGTGTTGACACATCATGGGGTTGGCAACCAGTGTCACAAAATAATATGCGTATGAGTTGTGTAATGATAGACTTGTTTGTTCTGTAAACCTTTCTGTGAAGCACAGCAAAAGAAAAGAGAAAAGACCGGGCAGTCCGCTTCTAAAAACCAGCCGGTGAGCCGGTGAGCACACAAGGGCCTGATCCGCAGCCGATCGTGGGGATGGTGCGGGACCCCGTTAAAGACCTGTTGTCGTTGTCGATCAGGGCCAGGCAGTGTTTTGTCATGTTGTGTATGGGGTTGCTGTGAGGCGGGGGCCAACTCAATGGCAGCTGTAAAAATGGTGTGGTTGAGGTGTCTGACCTCTAATTTCACAAGGGGAAAGAAGAATCAAGATCAGCAGCCTAAGGTTGATCCTGTGAGGTCAGATGTACCTCTTGTCTCCAAACTTTTTACTAATTCTGACACCAGCCACCCCTCCCACGGGCCTCTCTACTCTGCTGGGTTCTGCAAGTCATTGCAATGGCTGCAGGGAACTCACAGACCTTCCTTAGAGCTGTGGGGTTTATTAGGGAAGCAACAGGTTACAATTCGGGATTAGGAAGGACTTAGGGATACAGTTCTTCAATCAGAACAGCTTCTCCCCCTCTGCTACCAGGCCCTGCTGCCTCCGGGCCCTGCTGGGGGCCTTGTTGGGCAAGTGTTACACCTCTTAGCTCCGCGGATCGCCCCACGGCATCTGTCTCATGCTGGTCTTCTGGTTCCTGCTGTCTCTCGCCACCGTCTCTTGCTGTCTTCCTTGTTACAGCCCCTCTTTCTCTCTCCCTGTGTCTCCCGTTAAGCTTATCCACGTGGCAAAGCTAACCAATCCCCTCGTTAGGGTTCCGTACACCTTATTTGCATGGTCCCACCTCCACAAGGTACCATGCACCTTATTTACATCATTAGCAAGCTGTTCAATCCCCTTGATGGACCACAAGCACCACATTTGTGTAGTCCCACCCAGTCATTTGGTGGGAGTTACAAAGAATACGGCTTGAAGGGCCGTGTTAAGTCATTCCCTGCACCACACAGCTGACAGCAGTGATTAATGATGTTGAACATCTTTTTATGTGCTTATTGGTTGTTCGTGGATCTTTGGAAAAAAGTCTATTCTGATTCTTTGCCCTTTTTTTTTTAATGGGGTTGTCTTTTTTTTTTTTTAAATTGAGTTGTAAAAAGCTCTTTGTATGTTCTAGATAAAAGTCCCTTACCAGATTTATGATTTGCAAACATTTTCTGTCATTCAGTGAATTGTCTTTTCTTAATGGTGTTCTTTGAAGCACTGAGTTTGCATTGTAATGGAGTCCAGCTTATCTGTTTTTTTCTTTGGTCACTTTGGTGTCATATCTAAGGCCAAATTCCAGGTCTCATAGTTACACCTATGTTTCCTTCCCCGAGTTTAATAGTTTTGGTCTTACAGTTAGCTCTGGATCCATTTTGAGTTAATTTTTGTGTGTGGTGTGATGTAGGGATCCAGAGACATTATCTCAGGATCCAAAATACCCAAGCTTTTTATTTTTCAATCAGTTATTTTTGTGGTTTTTCCCACCTTAAAATATCGTGCGGCTGATACAGTATTCCAACTTTGCGACAATCACTAGCTGCCCTTGGGTAGATCATTACAGATGCTTGCTGATGACACAAATTACTGCAGTGCTCAAAATGTGCTAAGCAGTCTGCAAATGTTTGGGTTTCCAAGGGGCCTTAGAGGAGGGAGTGAGTCATTGGGCCAGTAACTAGACAGGAGATTGATCAGATCACAGGGATGGTGACCAGGGGGCTGTTCTAGTTCCAGCGCGGCTAATACTTGTGGCTGGCTTGTTCCTCAGAGCAATTCCTGAGGGTCTTGTGCAGCTGCTGTGTGATGCCTGGCAGGGAAGTTTGCAATTGTGGTCTTAGGCAATGGGCTGTGAGTCTGTCTTCAGCACGTATGGGGAGTTGAGTCTTGGTCTCTGTGAGGTCGGCTTACCCTGTTCCTAGGGATTCAGCCCTCCTTCAGGGATCGTGATGTGGCTGGGGGGAAACCGAGCACAGCGATCCCTTGGAGGAGCAGTGTTTTCTTCTATTATTGTTTTTGAAAAACCTACAGTAAAAGAATTTTTTTTATCAATGTAAAAAATTAGAATGACCAAAAAAACGGACACTTACCAGGATTACAGCAAATAGAAAATTTTTGCTAATAATTGAGACAGTAATCTCTATTTCTTTGCATTAAAAAGAAGCGTCATGCCGTTAAAATTCACTGTTGGAAACTTACTTTCTTTAGAGTTTCAGCGTGTCTGAAAGTTGACTGAGCCTTTTGGTTGGTTCTCGTTACATTTCTTCGCGAAACCTTGTTAGGCTTCAGAGGACTTTAGAGGTATTCTAAGAAGATCTCCACATGTAAGGATTGACCCAGAATGCCTGCTAACAGACATCCTTCTGTGCTTCCTGCATTTAATCCTTTACAGACGGAATCCCCCAGATGCCTGGGAATTCCTCGTTGGACAACTGTGCTTTAAGCAGAGTTTTGTGAACAGCCTTTCACCTTCAACCAGGAAAAAAGGTTTGTGTATTTTGAGCATTCTAATATTTGTTCCCCTTAGGAGATAAGGGTAAATGCCCTTTAACAGAGAAAGAGCGGGCGTTCTCTCCTGGTGGCCCTGCAGGGAAAGGGACAGTAATTTTCTGGAAAGAAATTTCATTGTTTAAAAAATAAAGTTCTGAGTGTTGCCTATAACTGAGAAAGATGGGGGGATTCCATAAAACCTGGGATTGAGGAAAAGAAGCCTTTCTGTCCTGTCAGAGAAGGCCGTGGGCCTCCTCCTGTCCTGTCAGAGAAGGCCGTGGGCCTCCTCCTGTCC